CCCTAAAGTTGTTGTAACACATCCTGTTCTTCGGTAACCCAACCGGATAATGATGTTGTGATGTATGGTGTATAGTGGACAAAGGAGGAAAAACGTGGCAAGTGACTAGATTGCAAGAACAGGAAAGAGAATGGCACAAGATGAAGAATTGTAACTGTTCAGAAACAGTCCTGCGTGATATTGTTAGGGTATTTGGGTAAAGATTGGGATATAAATCCTGTAAATTATTCAGTGAGTACAATCTAAATGTTAGATGGTTTTGTTTTGAGAGAAGAGAAGTGGCAAATGTTTACTATTCTGAGCAGGTAAATAACTAAAAATAAGATTTGAAGACCTACAATGAGGGAAGCTAACTCAGCAGTAGTCACACTTTGGTATCTTCCCCATTTACTTGGCCCAATTGTTCAATAGTTCGGTTTGCTCAGCTGATAGGAAAACGTCTGTTTCAAATGAGTAATCTGTTTTGAGTAAGAATGTACATTTTGGGAGAACTGAAATTCGTTATATTATTTGCCTATAGATTCTTAGTGTGGAATTCATAAAACTAACACTTGAACGTGAATTGATGATGCATTACGGATGCCTATGAAAGACTTGCTGCTTTCAAATTTTTTTAAATAAGATGTATTTAATAGGCTATGCTGCTGCAGAGTAAGCAGGAAGATTTATTTTCTTGTGTCAATGGGGACATGGCACTTTGACTTTTATCTCAGCAAGCGAAGAGAATGCATGAAACAAATAGCCTCTGAAAAATGCTGTCCCTTGTGTTGACCTTAAAACAGGTTTGGGCAGGTCTTGGATTTGTCCATCTGGCTTATGATTGATGGAGACCAAAAGAGGACAATATATTACTTGTATTTTGAAAATTAAGTTTTACTTAGAAAAGAAATACCTCTAAAAATAAATCTAATCAACTTTAGTGCAGTTTACAAATTATTTATGTACCAGGTGTCCTCCCCTATGTCTTAACGATCATAACATAGTCTTATGTCTCTGTAAATCCTGCATTTGTACTTCTAACGGCTACTTCAAACAGGAGAGGGAAACCAAAAAAAGACTGCTAACTATAGCAGTGCAGAAAAATCAGTCTCTTTGTGCATAAACCACAAAATTAACATCCAGGTACAATTGGTAATTAGGAAGGCAAATGGAATTTATTCCAAAGGGAATGCACTATAAAGGTAGTCGTGCTACAACTGCATAGAACATTGGTGAGATTGCACCTGGCATACTGTGTACAAGTTTGGTCTCCTTACTTCAGGATATACTTGCATTGGAAACAAGAAGATTGATTAGAGTGATTTCTGGGATGAAAGCATGTTGGATCATTAAATATATTCAAGGCTGATTTCAACAGATTTTTGGATTAAGAAGGGTTATGAGGCAACAGACAGGAAAGTGGAGTTATGACCACAGTTATAGCTGTTATCATTCTTATTAATTGACAAAACAGTTTCAATGGGCCAAATGGTCTTCAGTTTTTGACCTTGAGTCTGCACTTTGCCCAACGCCCGTAAGGAAATGTGTACTAGTAAGGAATTTGTGGCAGTATCTGTGTTCATAGTCCTCTTAGACCATAGGGCTGCTCTCTCATTAGAGAGAGAGGGGGCACTGGTGATGGTTTAGCTTGAGGGGAGAGGTTGAGAAGGAGAGTCCTTCATGATTGCTTCAGCTAGTGGAGAAATTGAACCAGCCATTCAGCCAACTGTGCTAACTTAATTACATATAAATACTAAAAAAAACCCCAAAAATACAAAATTCTTAAATACTAATTACACCAATCGATTTGGAAGTTATGATTCTCAAAACTTACTGAATTTTATTTGGCATGCTGTTCAGTTCATGCCTAATACAAAAAATATAGTTTGTCTACATGGTGACTCAGTATGCACTTGCAGTGTTCATGTGTGCTAACGTAATATACATACTGGAAGGTCCTAGACTTCTAAGCCCCTTGTCTATTGTGATAAATGATTGTAACAGTGGTTGGAGTTGCAAAGCAGATCAGTGGCTTATTTATGGAACTGGAGAAATCAACATCAGTTCATGCAGATTATTACCCAGTTTCTCCCAACTGAAAGATGGAGTATTGGGTAAGGAAAATAATAGGCATTATGATGACGCATCTCCAGGTTGGAAAGCTTGCAGACGCTCACTTTCTAAGTTTTCTGTTCCATGGTAGACCCATTAACTTGGCAAATACTTTAAAAACTTGTCTGGCCACCATAGTTTTGTCTTTTTGTGACGCCGAAAGCCCAGTTTGTCATTGCCGCACTTTTACCTCCTGATTATCACTGGACTTGCTTCATGTGAATCTGTGTTTGTATTCATCAGTTTCCCAGCTGCAGGATATTTACTGAATTGGGGGATTGTTGATTTCTCAGCCAAAGAAGGTAAAGGGTTGATATCAGGAAGCAAAGGTATTGTAGCATTTAGAAAACAAGTGAAGGGTCCTGTTAAAAGTAAACATTCGGCCTGTAGTTCTGGTGCCACATCTGTAGTGCAGCATCCCATAATCCCACCATAAATAAGTACAAAACAAAGAACCGCAGATTCTGGACATTTGAAATAAACAGTGTTGAAGAAACTCAGCAGGCCTGAAAGCATCTATATTGAGAAAAGCAGAGTTAACATTTTGAGTCCATTGACCCTTCAGCAGAACTGGCCGCCATTCATTCCAACCCCTTGATCATTCCTAATAGCCCTGTAATTTTTCTTGCTTCAAGACTTTATCCAATTCTATTTCAAGTATTACTGTTCAATTTCCTTCCTCCAACCTTTCTCGCATTCCAGATAACCTGCTGCGTATTTAAAGAAACATTCTCATGTTATCTCAGATTCTTTCGGCAATTAATTAAATCTGTGTTCCCTGGTTACAAAACCCTCCTGCTACTGGAAACAATTTCTTCTTATTTATGCTTTCAAAACTGTTCCAACATAATCAAGTTTAAGCGATGAAGTAGGTGCTCATTGCACGTGATTCTTAATGTTTCACTTTACTGACAGCCAAATGTGTCCTGTAATTACAAACTTCCGGTCTCACATCCAGCTACCCTCGAAATGAACCTCATGAATAGTATCCCACCTTGATCCTGTGTATATAAGTGGCAAACTATAGCTGAACAGCAGGAAGGTAATCTGAGTGAACCATCAAGCAGCAGTTTATGAATGCAGATTCTGTATTTTAATTCATTCAAACATTTGAAGAATAGATAATTGTCGAAGTATTACTATTTAGTCAACTGCTAAAATGTCCAGTGTCAACAGAAAATATATTGTGATGAAAAATGTGTAAATATTCCATTAATAAGAGCTACAGCAGGCCTGTGGTGCGTCTCTTAACATAAACAGAATATCCCATTTTGCCTTGGCTTACAAACAAGCTGAGTTTCCTGATGCATTGTTTCATGTCACTGACTGTCTCCTTTCCATTACTCCCATCTTTGCATTTGGAAATTTTTTTTGAAGAATCTTTATTTTACCTTGAACACATTCAGTACACAATACTCTTTATGAAGAATAGGTACCCTTTTATGGGAGAGCATAATGTACTGTTAGTTTTAATTTTTTTTGCAATATTGTAAAACTTAATTAGTTAATTGCACAAGACTAAGTGCTGGAGCCACAATTGTTTATAGTCTATATTAATGACTTAATTAAAAGAAGTGAATGTACTGTTGTCAAGTTTGTGGATGATACCAAGAAGGTGGGAAGACAAGTGCTGAGAATGACAAGAGTCTGCAGAGGGATATTGGCTGGGTTAGTAAGTGAACAAAAACTTGCCAGGTGCAATATGATGTAGGAAAATGTGAGGTTATGCCCTTTGGTGGAATAACAAAGGAGCTAAATATTATTTAAATAGAGGAACATGCAGAAAGCTGCAGCACAGAGGGATTTGAGGGTCCTTGAGAATGAATCACAAAAAACAAGTGTACAAGTTCAGCGGGTATTGGGGAATGCAAATAGACAGTCAGCCTTCCTTTCAAAGAGAAAGGAGGTCTTGCTAAAACTATACAAGGCACCAGTCAGATCACATTTATAAACTGTTTTGGTCCCATTATTTAAGGAAAGATATACTACCATTGGGGGCTGTCGAGTGAAGGTTCACAATATTGATTCTGGGTGTGGACAGATTTTTTTTAATGAGAGGTTGACTAGGTTGGGCGTGTGCTCATTGTACTTTAGAAGAATGAGAGGAAATCTGATTGAAATATAAGATTATTAGGGTGCTTGATAGGGTACATGCAGAGAGGTCGTTTCCTCTTGTGGCAGAGTCTAGGACCAGAGGGCATAATTTCAGGCTAGAGGATCTCCCATTTGAGATGGAGAATAGGAGCAGTTCTTTTTGATGGCAATAAATCTGTGGAATTCTTTACCACAGAAGACTGTAAAGGCTGATTGTCTATCTCAGCCTTGAATATCCTTGACATTTTTAATCAGGAAGGGAATCAAGGATTATGGGGAAAGGCAGGGAGATGGCGTTGAGTATTCTCATCAGGTCAGTCATAATCTCATTGAATAGTGGAGCAGATTCAATGGACCAAATGGCTTACACATGCTGTTACATCATATGGCCTATAATATTTCTGTGAAGTGTCTTGAAACTATTTACATGTTAAAAGTGCAAGTTTATTGTCTTTATACTAACCATTGTACTTGATTGCACAACACTCCATATCATTTAATGAAAACCATTCAGTCATGATTACATTCAATGCTGCAAATGGCCCTTACAACAACGTTTAACTTTCGTGATTTGCTAAAGCAGAATTCAGAATATTACATCAAGTAATGGAAAATCATGAAGAACAGCTATGATATTCTTTTAATGGAATAACCGCTTCATCCTTTTTTAATTAAATCTCCAATGTAAAATTAGGTTGAGGGCTTTGAAAGATGAAATAAATCATGAGTTCAGACGAGCCACCTTCTGTTCACAGATTGATGTGAGATGGGGCTGGCATAACTGGCCATATGGTGTGGATGGTCGGACAAGGCTACATATTTGGCAGACTGTAAGTACAGAGGAGGTCTTTGGAGCAAGATTGTGTTTTAAAATACTTGATTATCCTTGGATAAGCCATGAAACGCATCTGGTTTCTTATGCCTGTCTCAGATTTGACACAAGCTGTTTTAGCATTTAGAAGACCAAATATAAATGTATATAAAACTACTGACACTGTTATTTGTCCCCTCCTTTGTGTCAAGGTTACTTTATACGTAAACAGTCGATCACTCTCAAAGCTGTTTTAAAAGATATTGCAGCAACAGTAAGCTCGTGTACAGTGGACTGAAAATGCACTTTTTTTGTTTTAAAATACCATCCGGTGTCTTGATCTTTTTTGACAATCTTCATACTTTTGTTGTCTTGTTTTTTCCTAATTCAGGCAAAATACTGTGCATTCCAATTTTTAAAATTCACTCATGGGAGATGGGTGTTGCTGGCCGTCCCCAGGTACCCATGAGAAGGTGGTGGTGATCTGCCTTCTTGGACTGGAGTCACATATAAGCCAGACCAGTTAAGGATAGCTGATTTTCTCCCCTGAGAAGTATTAGTGAACCAGATGGGTCTCTCCAAATAATTGATAATGGTTTTATGGTCATCCGTAGATTCTTAATTCCAGATTTTTTTTATTGAATTTGATAATCCCTCCATGGTGGGATTCAAACTCTGGTGCCCAGAACATACCTGAGTTTCTGGATTAATAGTCTAATGATAATACCACTAGGCCATCACCTCCCTGTAAATCTAACTGGAATAGAAAATTAAGTCAATATGTAGTACCATCACGGTGAATCTTCAATCATCATTTCAAGTTATATTTGACATTAACATTGTGTATATGTCTAAACAATCTGATACAAAGGATGATACTTATGGAGAGACAGTTTGATTGTGTGGGTCTGTCATCTAAAATCACATAAATGGGAAATAAAGCAGGGTATTCATTCTGAGGACATGAGTGATACCATGCAAGTGATACTTTGAATAGATTGGCTATGACACTCTTGCAAGACATTTTTAATAAGGATCTTTGGTTTACAACTAGTAAAATACAATCTATTGACATTAAATTCTGCAATACTATATTCTGCATTTACGAGACTGAGGAGCTTGCACAGTTTGACGTAAGAAATGGGGAGTATTGGAAGGTGTGTTGCGCTCAAAAACAGCCAAACCCCCTGGCCCAATTGAATTGCATTCCTGGCTGCTGTGGGAGGCAAGACAAAAAATTGCAGGGGCTCTGACACAATTTTTTTTATTTCCCTCTGGCCACAGGGCACGTGCTAGAGAACTGGAGGATGGCTAATATGTTTCCCTTTTTAAAAGGGGTGGTAGAGATGAACCAGGAAACTATAGACAGTGAGTCTCACGTCAGTGATCGGGAAACACTTGGAGAAAATTCTGAAGGATCAAATTAATACCCATTTAGAAAGGCATAGGTTAATTAGGAGTAGTCAAAGGCTTTGTCGAAGAGAGGTCATGCCTAACAAATTTGTTAGAATTTTTTGAAAATTTGATTGTGTGTGGATGAAGGAAGTTTAGTTGATGTAGTTTATATGGATTTTGACACCGTTTTTGACAAGGTCCCACATGGGAGACCGAGAAGATTAGAGAACATGGAATTGAGGAAAAATTGGCAAGATGGATCAGAAACTGGCTGCGTAATAGGACCTAAAGGGTAGTGGTAGAAGACTGTTTGAGTGACTGGAGGCCCGTGTCCAATGGTGTACCACAAGGATCAGTACAGGGACCCTTATTGTTATATACATAAATGATGTAGATGAAAAATGCAGGAGAATGTTAAGCAAATTTGCAGATGATATCAAGATTGGTAGAATAGTTAACAGCGAAGAAGATGGTCGTAGGTTACAGGAAAATATAAATGGGCTGGTCAGGGGGGCAGACTAGTGCCAAATGGTATTTAACTCTGATAAGTGCGAGGTGATGCACTTGGGAAGAAGAAACAAGATGAGGGAGTATGTAATGAATAGCAGGACACAGATAGCTTAGAAGAACAGAAGAATCTTGGGGTAATTGTTCACAGATCCCTGAAGTTGGTAGAGCACGTGAATAGGATAGTTAAGGCATATGAGACACTTGCTTTCATTAGCTGTGGCATTTTGATTTGATTTATTATTGCCACATGTACCTAGGTACAGTGAGAAGTTTTGTTTTGATCAGGCAGATCATAACATATAAAGATCATAGGGTGATTGTATTCCTTGCTGTGTTCAAAGTTATGGCTGTGAAGGTGCACAAAAAGCAAGGTCAACATTAGATTTGAAATTTGAGAGGTCCATTCAGAAGTCTAATAGCGGGAAAGAAGCAGCTCATGAACCTGTTAGTACGTATGTTTAAACTTTTGTATCTTCTGCCTGACAGGAGAGATTAGAAAAGATTATATCCAGGGCGGGAAGGGTCTTTGATGTTGGCTGCCTTTCTGAGGCAGTGAGAAGTGTAGACGGAGTCAGCAGAGGTAAGGTTGGCTTGCATGATGGACTGGCCTGTGTTCACAACTTTGTAGTTTCTTACTGTCCTGGGAAGAACAGTTGCCATACCAAGCTGTGATGCAAAAAGATAGATGCACCATAGAAAGCATTCTGTAAAAGTACGTGAGAGTCCTTATGGACATGCTGAATTTCCTTAGCCTCCTGAAGAAGAGCCATTTGTTGTGCTGCCTTGACCATCGCATCAACATGGATGGCCCAGAACAGGTTGTTGGTGGTCATCATTCCTAGGAGCTTTGCATTCTTGACCATCTCCACTTCAGCTCCATTGATGTAGATGGGGCGTGCCCTCCTCCTTGCTTCCTGAAGTCAATGAGCAGTTCTTTAGTTTTGCTGACGTTGAGGGAAAGATTGTTGGCTTTATACAGGTCCACAGGAGCTTTATACAAGAGGGAGTCTTTTTTTTAATTAATTCGTGGGATGAGAGCATCGCTGGCTAGGCAGCATTTATTGCCCATCCCTAATTGCCCAGAGGGCAGTTAGGAGTCAACCACATTGCTATGGATTTGGAGTCACATGTAGACAGGTAAGGATGGCAGTTTCCTTCCCTAAAGGGCATTAGTGAACCAGATGGGTTTTTCCAACAGTCGGCAATGAATTCATGGTCATGGCTCTTAATTCCAGATATTTATTGAATTCAAATTCCACCATCTGCCATGGTGGGATTCGAATCCGGATCCCCAGAACGTTATATGGGTCTCTGGATTAACAGTTCAGTGATAATACCACTGGGCCATCGCCTCCCCATTCTTTACCTTTACACCAGTCCACCAAGCACTCTATCTCATTACTGTTTGATATCGGCTTACAACAGTGGTGTCTCAGTGAACTTGAAGGTAGAGTTCAGATGAAATTTGGCCTCACAGTCATGAGTGTATAGGGAGGGGCTGAGTAAGCATTCTTGCGGGGTGATGGTGTTGAGGATTTTTGTGGAGGAGATGCTGTTGGCTATCTTCAATGATTGTTATCTGTGGGTCTGGAGGTTGAGGATCCAGTTGCAGAGGGCAAAGCAGAGACCTAGGTCTCGGCGTTTGGAGATTTGTTTGGGGTTGGAATTAGGAGTGTTGAAGGTGGAGCTGTAGTCAATAAGTAGTTGCCTGACATAGGTATCTTTAGGTACCTGTAAGCATAGAGTGTAAGAGCAAGGAGGCAGTGTTGGAGTTGTACAGAATGTTGGTCAGGCCACAATTGGAGTGCTATGTGCAGTTCTGGTCACCTCACTACAGGAAGGATTTGATAACACTCGAGGGGCTACAGAGGAGGTTAACCAGGATATTGCCTGGGATGGAGAGATTGAGCTTTAAGGAGAAACTAGATAGGCTTGGATTGTTTTCTTTAGAGGAGAGAAAACTGACAGGGTGGGGAGGGAAACATTATTGAGGTGTGTAAGATTATGAGGGGTATGGGCAGGGTCAAGAGAAAGCAGCTGTTCGCCTTGGTTGAGGAGTCAGTCATGAGAGGGCATAGTTTTAGGGTAAGGGGCAGGAGATTCCAAAGGGATTTGAGAAGAAAACTTCTTTACTCACTGGGTGGTGGGAATCTGGACTGTACTGCTTGAGAAGGTAGTGGAGGCTGGAAACCTTACAATCTTTAAAAATATTTGGATGAGTATCATAACATTCAGGGATATGGGACAAATGAAGGAAACTGGGATTAGCGTGCTTTTAGTGGTCGTTATGTCGGTGCAGACTCGATGGGCTGAAGCACCTTTTCTGTGCTCTATAAATCTATATTCTATTACAGATGTATTTATGTAAGGTATGATTGGTCTGGTTAGCACGCAAAACAATATTTTTCACTGTATCTCGGTGCTTGTGAAAATAATAAATCAAATCAAATCAATCCAGTCTTGCACTTGTGAAAAACAATGTAGTTAATGGTTGAAAGAATCAGACTTAGATGACACAGTCCCTAACCCTGGACTGGGAAGCCCTGTTTCAAGGCCCACCTGCTCCAGAGGTGTGTAATAACATCGCTCAACAGGTTGAATAGAAAAGTAGGTTCAATTTAAATAAAAGTTCATTGGTGTTGCGTCTTGCTGTGAATATAATTAGTGACCTTTTTACATAACTACATTCTGGAACATTTGTAACGTGTTTATTATGGGGATGGTTATAAACACCATTTCATGCAATTGTCTTGCACCTGTTTAATGTGCACCAAGGGCAACATGCCCTTCACCTCAACTGCTAGTACTTCTAATGCTGTTGGCCTTTCTAAAGTAGAACAAGTCTTCATTCAGACTGTGTAGTTTTAATTCATCAACTAATTTGTTTGACTCTTAACAACAAAAAAATTAAAAGAACACTTAACAGGCTGTGTGCTCAAAATCCTAAACCTGGGATTATTTGTTTGCTTTGTAACTGCATGCCATTGAATTTAGCCTGTAGTAATGTAAAAGTACTTTTCTGTGAACTCTTAGTGTTTGTATTGTAACTGTAGTGTTCTCAGTACATTCCAATCCACCCATGTACAATACTCTGGCATTCGAACTGCTGGAAGAATTGGTAGACTTACTGTGATGCCAATAAAATGATGTTACAATTATTTTTGATTTTGGTTGTAGTACTGAACTGTTTCTCAAAAGAGCATTGTTAATTTTCCATGCTGTATAAGACTTATTACAAGCATGGAAAGTATAATAAAGTGCTCTTGTTTATTCAACATTTCCTGTCTCATTTATCAATTGCACGCAGTTATACTCTGAATTTTCCTGCCTTGTTTCTTCTAAGTTGAAAATCTGCTTTCCTAAATCCTTCGTTATTATATTGAAAAGTAAACTGCTTGCTCTATTACTTGCTGACTCATTCTTCCAAGGCTCCAAAACTGTGTAGCTTCTTAAGGTCATTAGATTTTTTCCTTCTCATACAAATTTTGTCCTTTTCAAACCTAAGTTTGGTGATAACTAATCACTGCGGCCTCAGGTCGTAGCTATTTTTGTGCAAAAAGAGGCTATTCGGCCTCATGAATTTGCTTTGGCTCCCTAATGAGCTTCTCAGTGAGTGACAGTCTCCTGATTTCTCCCTGCAATTCTACACATTCTTCCTTTTCAGGAACCTGTCTAATTCTCTTTTGAATGCCTTGATTGAATCTGTCTCGAGCACACTCTTGGGGAATGCATACCAGACCCGAACCATTTGCATCAAAACATTTTCCCAGTTTCGTTTCTTTGCTGCTTTTAGTAATTACTTCAAATCTGTGCCATCTTGTTCTTGATCCTTTCTTAAGGGAGTACACCCCGCATTTGCCTCAACCTTAACATTTTCTCATTTGTGTTAAGCTTGCTGACATCATTTTGACCCTAGCATCCCCACTTGGGCTTCTCAATTGAAAACAATTAAATTATTTGTGTATGTTGCTTCCGTTTACTCTACTAGAAGAGTTAGTTCTTTAACTCTGTCTTTAAAATGGTTAGATTGTATGAAGAGCATTACAGAATGTTACAGTGGTGGTTGGAACACAAGCCAGCCAAAAAGTACTGTACAGCTGCTGACTATAAAAGGGTAAGCTAACTGTAAGTAATTGTCAAAAGTTGCATTATGAATGTGTTATAGAACTGTCAGTGCAAATGCAGCAGTAAGTGTAAGCCACATATTTGTTTTAATTTCAAAACTATCAAAAGTGGTAAAACAAAATCCCCAACAAACCTTGCATTGCTTGCAGGGAATTTGGCTTTTTGGCTGTGAATGCAATTGAGGCAGCACCTTTGCTGCTCTCTGTTCCCATGGTTGCTCATGTGTCTCTTTCTCTTTCACCCAACTTGAAATTCTAATCTTTGTCAGTCATGATTCAGAAATTGAAAGCCTCTTTTGTGGGGTTTGTTACTGAATCATTTTTGAGCCTAAGTGCACTAATTGGATTAAAGTTTTAACAATAATTTTAGTATTAATTACAGTTGCTACATGGATCTGAAGTCTTGCTTTGTTTTGGACAAGGCAATGTGACTGTTTTATTTACAGGTAACTAGCAGACAAATTATAAATTAATCAAAGAGGATTCCTAGTGGTAAACCAAGTGGATATCAGAGTTGGAGGTTTCAAACCCTAATGATGGCTGGGGGGATGAAAGGCTAGAATTACTTTCTTGAACAATGCTGCAGAGAGTTTCTCCTCCACCCATTAGTCCAATTGGCCTTGGCAGACTTATTTGAAAATTTCAATGCAGAGAGTCAAGGACACCTCCATGGTGAGGTGACCATACCCTCTTCTATGTGCTTCAGTAGCACCCAATGTTCCAATGTGCCTACACCCCAGACACTGCAGGCCCAAAATAGGGACTCCAGCATCAGAAGATTCCTGCAGCAGTGAGTAGGAAGGGAGATTATAGGAGCCCAAAATTATGAGAGACTGACAGGAATGTGGATTTGAGGCCACAACTACATCAGCCATGGCCTTGTTGAATGGCAGAGTACATTCGAGGGCTGAATAGCCTACAGGTCGTTCTGCTATAATGCGTGTTTCGTTACGTGAATTGGCTGTAACGCAATTGATGAATAGTAGATGCTGTTTGGATAACGCAAACTTTTTGCTATACAAGTATAGTGATTTTCTATAGCAAATTCCTTAATGTGATTTCTGATCACAATTTTTTATAGCGCGAGGTCACACAAGAACGCAACTATCCGGTTATAGGAAAACTACCTGTACTTTTCGTATTTGTGTGTTCAAAACACATTTTTCATTCTTTTTTGTCTCCGTCTCCATTTTTTAACTTATTTCCTTCCCCATTCTTTTAGCTTGCTCCTGTTCCTTTTGTCCTCTCTATGTCTCCTTTGCACCAAGTATTAATGGCCTTCTGGCTCAACTACAGAGAAAACAAATCAGCCCAGGTTACCTCACAATAAATAGGTACCAGTTGCCTCTTGTGCAAAAGGCCTCTGTGTGGATATCATTGGCTCATGAATAGGTTATTCGACAGATTAAAATGCTCTATTTTGAAAGGCGTGTAAATAATTTTTCCTTATAATTTCAGTTCTTTGCCGCTCTCACTTAGGATTTTGATTTGGAGTTCACTGCCTGTATTCGCACATGAAATATGGTCAGATGGGGAGTTGGGGTGATGGGATGGAGTAAAAGATGATGTTTGTATGGGGGTTTGAGATGTGGAATTTTTAATTTTAGAATTGCTTTATGATTTCCCTTTTTCAAGGATAGCTTCAGGTGGCCAACCTGCAGTGACAGATTGGTGTTTGCACTGTCTTGATGATGTTCTTGCGTTTCAGGTGATCTGCCATGATGGAAGGCCCACGTGTTGCAGACTATTTTGTGGTGGCAGGCATGACTAATGCTTCAAAGCCACTCGAAGAGGAAATACAGTTTAATGACAGCTGCCACAAAATAGCTAAACCAAAAGCACCTATCACTGATGTGGCTATCATTGTGAAATCATTGGGCGAAGAAGTTCCCCAAGGGTATACATGTGTAGAAACTACTCAAACTGGATTATCGGCTGATCTCAATAATGGAAGCTTGATGGGTCCTCAGATTTTGCTTTGCTACAAAAGGGGTAGAGATAAACCACCTCTGACTGACTTAGGGTATGTAATTGAAAGTTCCTACAAATTAGCATTGATCCAAGTTATGTATTGCAAAATCATGTGTGACTTTCCTTGTCATATGAACTTGTTGTGTTCTATATCTTGTCTATCATATACTCCAGTAAACTGTTTAAAGTATGTACTTAAGTGGTGATGTCACAGCTAATGAGATACAATTGTTAATCACTGCCACCGCTATAGTGATGCCATTATGCCACATTATGCATATGGGTGAAATGTTGGTACCTGACAGCCTGCACATGATTCCTATTCAGATAGTGAGCCAATTTCCTCTTTAATGTGTCGATTGAACATGCCTCCCCACACTCAGGTAGTTCATTCCAGATTCTAACCATTCTGCATTAAAAAAACATCCTCACAATATCATTGCTTCTTTTGCTAATAACTTTAATTCTGTGCCCTCTTGCATCCCATTTACAGAAATGCACTATGAATTTGGAAGAGTGGTAGTTTTTGTTCTCCCAAAACACAGCTAGGAGAGAAAGGGCAAAATAAATGTTGGCCAATGAGCATCGCTGCAGCCATATTTTAAGGACAAGTATTTATCTGGCAGAGAAACTTGGTTGGAGTACACCTGGAGTACTGTTCGTCTTCTGGGCTCATTGAGAAAAGGAAAAACTGGAATGATGAATATATTCCCTGTTCTGCTATTGGGAAAGATTGAACATGCTAGGGCACTTCTTTGGAAAAGAGCAGTAGATGGTTGACCAGATGGAGATTTGAAGATTATGAAAGTTTATCTTAGGGTAGCTATAACCCTTTAAAATGAGACCAACATTAGATGCCTTAAATATAAGATGATCGTAAATAAATCCAGGAGAAAGTTCTTTGACCAGAGAGTTGTCAGAACATGGAACTCATTAATGTACAGGGAATATTTGAGAGGAAGCTGGATAGTGTTACGACCAAGCCCAAAAGGATGAATAAATTCCCCTCTTTTTCACACCTGATGTTGGTTTTAAGAGCGTTTGATATTTTTTAAAAAATGTATATTTTTTTAAACAGAATCACAGAATTGTTACCATGCACATAGAGATTTTACCTATTGTGTCTGCAACATCCGAGTGTTTTGACTTGCTACCAAAATCTCCTGTCTTCTCTCCAAAACAATGAAATCATAAAATGGAACAGGAATTGGTTATTTGGTCCACCATGTCTGCTCCGCCATTCATTTGAGATATGGCTGATCTAATAGTCCTCAACTTGATTTTCCTGCCTTTTCTCTGTCAATCCTGGATTCCCTTACTTACTTAAAGATCTGTCTGTCTTGTACTTAATATACTTAACAACCTATCCTTGACAACCCTCTACAAAAGAATTCCACAGATTCACTACTCTCTGCGGGGGTTCGGGGGCCAAAAATCCTTCCTATCCTTGTCATAAGTGGGTGATCCCTTACTCTGTGATTATGCCCACTGTTCCTAACTCTACCACAAGGGGAAGCAACGTCTCCGCATTTACCCTGTTCCCCAGGTAGCCCCCAGAATCCTGTATGTTTCAATAAGGTCTCCTCTCATACTTATAAACTCCAATGAATACAAGCTCAACCTCTCCCCATAAGAAAATCCCTCCATACCTGGAACCAACCTAGAGAACCTTCGCTGGATTGCCTCCAATGCCGTTACCCATGACCCTGCCCATAATTTATTTTGAAATAATTATCTGCCCTATTGAATGCCTCAGTTGAATCTGCTTCCACCATGTTTCCAGATCGTACATTTCAAATCAAAACTTATGTGAAAAAGCTTTTTATTATCTCTCATTTGCTTCTTTTACAAAATGTTTTACATCTGTGCCCTCTGGCTCTTAATCCTGTTGTGGGCAGGAACCATCTCTCTCTGACTATTCTGTCCAGAACCCTCATGATTTTGAAAGTTTCCCTCTGATCTCCTCTTAGCCATCTCTTCTCCAAGGAACACAGTCTCAACTTTTCCAATTTGTCCCCATAACTGAAGTTTCTCACACCTGGAATTATTCTTGTAAACCTCCTCAGTGCACTTCCTGATGCATTCATGTCCTTCCTGAAGTATGGCACCCAGAATCGTACACAGTACTCCAGTTAAGGGCTAATTGGTGTTCTGAATGAGCTCAGCCTCCCTGTTCTTGTATTCTGTGCCCCTATTATTAGGCCTAGAAACTGTATGCTTTACTAACATTCTCTGTACCTGCCCCGCCACCTTTAATGACTCTCTGCTGCTGCATATCCTCTAAAATAGTAACAATGTCAAATAACATGTCTCTGTGTTCTTAATGCCAAAGTGTATGGCCTCCTACTTCCCCGCATTGAACTTCATCTGCCACTTATCTGCCCACTCTATTAATGCACCAATGTCCTTCTGAAATTCTACGCTGGCCTCACAGTTTACAGCGCTCCTGAGTTTTGTATCATATGCAAATGTTGAAATTGTCCCCTGCACATCAGGATCTAGATCATTAAAATATATATATAATTTAGCCTCGCTCAAGCCCAAAAATACCCCAAGTAACTGTTGCTGTCTTTATCCTACCTTTAGCCAATTGTGGATCTTCAATGTCTTAAACCTTATGATACAATGATCACTATCTGCTAACTTTTCCCCCACAAATATGTGATCTACTTGGCCTACATCAACCCCCAAGAACCAGATCTAGCAGAACTTCCTTTTTCATTGGATTGGATATACCCTGTTGTAGCAAATTCTCACAAACACAATCCAAGAATGCTTTTCCTTCACTGTCCTTTACAAAGACACGAGAGAGGAGCTGGCCAGAGTTGATTGGAAGTTAATTAGAAGGGAAGACAATGGAGCAGCAGTGGCGGGTGTTTCTGGGGTTTTTTTGGGAAGCACAGCAGAAATTCATCTCAAAGAAGAAAGATTAAAAAAAACATACTAAGGGAACGGTGAAGCAACCATTGCTGACAAGGGAGGTGAGGAATAGCTTATAATATGATGAAGATTAGTGGGAAGCCAGAGGATTGGGAAGCAGAGGACAACTAAAAAGGCAATAAGGAAGGATAAGATGATACATGAGGGTAAGATGGTGAGTAATATAAAAGAAATTATTTTAACTATTTAAAAAGATCGAAGAACAGTACAGCACAGGAACAGGCCCTTGTGCGCTGCCACATTTTGCCCTTCTTTACTAAAACAATTTTCACTTACAGGATCCGTATCCTTCTATTCCCTTCCTATTCATGTATTTGTCCAGATGCTTCTCGAAAGCTGGTATTGTGTCTGCTTCCACCACCTCCTTTGGTAAAACGTTCCAGGTCCTCCTCATCCTTTGTGTGAACTTGCCTCGCACTTTGAACCTGTGTCCCCTAGTAATTGACCCCCTTCTCCCAGGGAAAAAGCCTCATACTTTCCACTCTATCCATGCCATTTGCAATCTTACTAACTTTTATCAGGTTGCCCCTCAACCTCCTGCATTCCAATGAAAACAAACCCAATCTATCCACCCTTTCTTCATAGCTGAATTCCCCATACCAGGCAACATCCTGGTTGACCTGCAGTGTAACTTATCCATCCTTTATACTCAATACCCCTGCCAATGAAGGCAAACAAGCTATAAGCCTTTTTTACTGCTTTATTTACCTGCCACCTTCAGTGATTTGTGGACCTGCACACCCAGAGTTGTGATGCTGATTGGCTGACGTGGGAAAGATTTGCGTCAGTGCAGTCACTGCTTCCAGAAGGTGGTTTGTGGAGGGGCTGTTGTCAAGTGACAGAGAAGGGAATTTGTGTGGGGCCAGAGGAAATGGGCGAGGTATTAAATGAGTACTTTGCATCAGTATTCACCATAGAGAAGGACTTGGTGGATGATGAGTCTGGGGAAGGGTATGTAGATAGTTTGGGTCATGTTGAAATCAAAAGGGAGGAGGTACTGGGGGTCTTGAAAAACATTAAGGTAGACAAGTGCCCAGGGCCTGATGGGACATACCCCAGAATACTGAGAGAGGCAAGGGAGGAAATTGCTGGGGCCTTGAGAGAAATCTTTGTATCCTCACTGGCTACAGGGGAGGTTCCAGAGATTTGGAGAATAGACAATGTTGTTCCTTTGTTTAAGAAGGATGGCAGGGATAATCCAGCTAATTACAGACTGGTGAGCCTTATGTCAGTGGTAGGGAAATTATTGGAGAGGATTCTTCGAGACAGGATTTACTCCCACTTCAAAATAAGTGGCAAATGAGTGAGAGGCAGCATGGTTTTGTGAAGGGGAGGTAGTGTCTCATTGACTTGGTTGGGTTTTTTGAGGAAGTGATGAAGATGATCGATGATGGTAGGGCAGTGGATGTTGTCTACACTGACTTAAGTAAGGCCTTTGACAAGGTCCCTCATGGCGGGCTGATACAGAAGGTAAAGTTGTATGGGGTCTGAGGTGAGCTTGCAAGATGGATAAAAAACTGGCTTGTTCATAGAAGACAGAGGATAGTAGTGGAAGGGTGCATTTCTGAATGGAGGGCTGTGACTAGTGGCCTTCCTGAGGGATCAGTGTTGGGACCTTTGCTGTTTGTGATATATATAAATGATTTGGAGGAAGATGTAACTGGTCTAATTAGTAAGTTTGCCAATTGACACAAAGGTTGGTGGAATTGCAGATAGCAATGAGGACCGTCAAAGGATACAGCAGGATATAAATCGGTTGGTTACTTCGGCAGAGATGGCAGATGGAGTTCAATCCGGGAAAATGAGGTAATGCATATTGGAAGGTCTAATCCAGAGTGAAAATGTGCAGTAAATGGCAGAACCCTTAAGAGTACTGAGAGGCAGAGGGATCTGGGTGTACAGGTACACAGATCACTGAAAGTGGCATCGCAGGTGGAGAAGGTCGTCAACAAGGCATACGGCATGCTTGCCTTCATTGGCCAGAGCATTGAGGTTAAAAATTGGCAGGTAATGTTGCAGCTTTATAGAACCTTAGTTAGGCATCATTTGGAATATTGTGTTCAGTTCTGGTCACCACACTACCAGAAGGACATGGTGGCTTTGCAGAGGGTA